CCCAGAATTCCCCAGCCAGCATTCGCTGGCTGGGGAATTCTGGGAGTTGAAGTCCGGACATCTTCAAGTTGCCAAGGTTGAAAAACACTGCCCTAGTGGGTAGAAGGTCCACAATTCCTGTAATTCTTGTAACCCGGAACTTCTGGCCAACTGCCTAGGAAGTGAGCAGCTAGAAAAAGATATTGAGATGCTAGAAAGGGTGCGAAGAAGAGCAACGAAGATGATTAGGGGACTGGAAGCTAAAATATACATTCCAGGAATTGAGTGTATCTAGTTTAATGAAAGCAAGGAATAAGGGTGACATGATAGCAGTGTTCCGATATCTAAGGGGCCGCCCCAAAGAAGAGGAGGTCAACCTGTTCCCCAAAGCACCTGAGATCAGGACAAGAAGCAATGGGTGGAAACTAATCGAGGAGAGAAGCAACCTAGAACTAAGGAGAATTTTCTCCTTTAGTTAGAACAATTAATCAGTGAAAAGACTTGCATCCAACACTGGTGGTTTTTAAGAATAGATTGGACAAGCATTTGTCTGAAATGATGTAGGGCTTCCTGCTTGAGGAGAGGGGTGGAATAGAAGAGTTCCAATCAGCCCACATAGAGAGGACCAGGTGGGGAAACGTGCTGGGGACTACTAATGATTCTTGATTACCATTTTAGCATTTCCAGGATTTCATACTGAGTTATTATCATCTTCCAATTGTAACCACATGGTTACAATAAAAAAATTTTTTCGTTTTCCAATGCTTTCTTACTGAACTTTGTCCTTAATGAGAAAGTAGGACAAGATAGAGTACAGAATAAAAGTATGCAGTCAATACTTTTAGGCTGTATCTTAATTTAGAAAATAAATAGGTCTTGATTAAGTATGGGTTGAACTTTTCTCTTAAGTACAGCATGCTAATATACCATATTTTTCTTCAGGAGTAGTGAACCTATCAAGAAAACAGGGCAAATTCAAACAAAACCACAGTTTTTCTAAAACCAGGCATACTCGTAATTTTCTCCCCAGTCTTCAATGTGACTTAGTATTGTGCACACATTTTCATTCGGTATTTCTTATGCTTTACACATCATATTTTATTTATTTATCATATTTTGAAACTGCCCATTTCCCTCAAAAAGTGACTGTGGGCAATGGAAATATTATTTTAAATATTGAATATAAAGGTATAATAAAATATAAGTATACTTCAGCTATTCTGAGATTTTCAACAATACAGCCTTTAGAACAAACAACTTCTGAGATGTTTTACACATTCCTAAAAAAAGATAGGCCAAACACTGGAGATTTAACTCTGCCCGAAAGGCCATTTTGCCGTTAATTCTGGGAAGGCAGATGTTGCCCTCCAGATACAGTATTTTGAACCAACTACAATCAACCCCATTCAATGTGGCCAGGAAAGAAGGAATCTTAAGAGTTGTCAGAAGGAAATGGAGAGCAAGGCTAGGAAATTATGACTGCAGGTAGTTTGCAATTTACAATCAATCATCCGGTTGACTAGTCAAACAACTGCATTGGGAAAAAAGGGACTTATGACCAGTTTTCACACTTTAGGACCGTTACAGCATCTCCACAATCACATAATCACGCGGTCGCTTGGCAACAGTATGTGTTTACGATGGTTGCGGCATCCTGGGGTCATGTGATCCCTATTTGTAACCTTCCCAGCCAACTTTTGACAAGCAAAGTCAATGGGGGAAGCTTGATTCGCTTAAGGACTATATGATTCACTTAACAAGTGCAGTGATTAACAACTGCGGCAAAAAAGGTAAAATGGGGCAAAAACCTACTTACCAATTGCCTTTCTTCTTAGTAATGGAAATTTTGGGCTCAGTTGTGATCATAAATCGAGGACTACCTATAGTTGGATATATCATGAACATGTGGCTTTTGTGGCGCTTGGAGTAGTTCCCAAACTGAGCTAATTCTCATAGGGCTGGGCAAAAACAAGAACTAAGTGCAGTCTACTATAAGTAGAGGTTAGATTTAAACAGGCCAACCCACTCAAAAAAGAGAGCCAAGTAGGCCATTAGCTAAGGTGGAATGAAAATAGGAACCTCCTTTTATTTTTTTTTAAAAAGGAATAGTTTCTCCACATGGATAGCCCTTGACAAGATTGTACTCTTAGCAACTGTTTCAAGTTACGACACTTCCCCTTCAAAGATACTTATAACTTGGTTCGAAAGTTCCTATGGCTGGGTATCTGCATATGACTGCAGTCACATGACTGCATTTTGGGCGCTGGGCAACCAACCTGCATTTACAACTACTTTTAGCTATACTCACATTACTTATGTTACCGCAGTGTATGATGTTTTTTCCCCAAAAACAGTGTTTACTCCTGTTTTTGGCAAAAATGCTCATAGGTTTGCTTAAGGACTGTGGTGTTCCCTTGTAAAGTCAGATCAGTGACATAGGTGGCTCGCTTTACGACTGTTATGACTTATGACCATAATTAGCAGGCTGCGTTATAGTCATAAAGCAGAGGAGATATTCAGCAGGTTCTCACCAATTCTGGAGAACCGGTAGTGGAAATTTTGAGTAGTTCGGAGAATGGGTAAATACCACCTCTGATTGGCCCCGCCCCCATCTATTCTCTGCCTCCGGAGTCCCAGCTGATCGGGAGGAAATGGGAATTTTGCAGTAACCTTCCCCTCCCCTGGCATGCCCACCAAGCCACACCCACAGAACCGGTAGCAAAAAAAATTGAATCTCACCACTGTCATAAACTAAGGACTACCTGTAACTTCAATTGTTACCATTCTTTTGATATTGGCTTCCTGCTCTGCTTAGTAAATATTACTTATTCTCGGATCTTGGATTTTCTTATGAGTTTATTAATGTGATTCTAGCGGTTTCCAGTCAAGAGATAGTAGGAACCCTTGGACACCATTGCTCTCCTGCCAACTCTGGTCTAGGACTGCAACTCCCAGAATGCTCAGCGGGTATAGCTCTGAGCAGGCATTAGGTCCATGCTTTGCTTGGAACAAAATACTGTGGTAAAGGATTTTGCTACCCCAGGAGATTAAAAGGGTTTCTTAATCATTTCTCTGAAGATATATTCTGTATCCATTTGTGTATTTTACCTTCAGCACTTCCTAAGCACGTAAGACTCTTCAACAGGGCTAGAGAAACATACTTAAATAAACTGAGCTAAGTCAATAACTACTGAGGGATTGATCATCAGCAAATAGAGCCACAGGTTGTTTCTTACCTTTGCACACACTAGAATTGATGGATGAATGGTATAAGCACGAAACCTCTGCACTTCCCAACCCTAGATTGCCATATGGTGTTTTCCTGATCTTTCTATGAGTTAGACCCGTGATGCATGCATGCCATAGGTGGCACACGGACCCCTCTCTGCAGGCACGTGAGCTGTCACCCCAGTTCAGATTAACCTTGTGGCGTGCCCCCCACACCTTTTTTTGTCCCAGGAGGCTACAGGAAGGCCTGCTAGGACCAAAACAGGGAATGAGGTTTGCGTGCAGGGAGGACACACAAGGGTTGGGGCGCACACGGGGCCGTGCATGCATTGCATTATGGGTGTGGACAAAATGGTTGGCCATCACTGAGTTAGACGATTAGTTATAACTCCCCTGAAAGAAATAGGACTAAAGCCACTTTTCTCAATGTGGCAACACTCAGAATTCCTAGCCAGTGTGTGTAGACTCTGAGAATTCTGGGACTTGCAAACCTGGACCCAGTGGTGGGATTCACTTACCTTCCCGACCAGTTCACACACTCCACCCACGTGCTTGATACATAGTGCAATAAAAAATCCTCTTCTCATGTGCAGAAGCAAAAAGCAAGGTGATGGCAAACTGGAGAACCGGTTTGGGGGCGTGGCAGGCCTGGGTCCCTGACCCAGGCCGCCAAAGCACTACCAGTTCCACCAAACTGGTACGAACCCATCTACCAAAGCAATTGTCAGATAAGGGGCAGCTGAACCCACAGAAGGAAAGAGAGGGAGGCTAATATATCAGAAGAAATCATCCCTAGTTTATTGGGCTGTAAATGTGAGGGAGCTCTTAAATCTGCACATTCAGACTTACAGGATTCTATTAATGTAAAGCTTACAGTAAAGTTAAAGCTAGCATTTCTGGGTCTGTTTCTTGTCTGGACTACCTCACAACACTGACATCAATCTTGCAAGTCCAAAAGTACATCCTTCCCTCTCATCTTTGCAGTCCAAAAAACTAGGGGAGGTCCCATCTAAGAGATGCTTCCATTCCTTTTGCAGATTCACCTATCATTTGTTTGATCATTGTCTAATCTGCAGCTCTTCCCCCTATCTCCCAAGATCATTTCCATAATGACATTAGAGCATAAAAGCTGGCTGGATGACTTTGGACCAAGCATTCTCCCTCAGCCTAAACCATCTGTAATGGTGTGACTTTGGGCAATGGGGAAGAGTTACCACCAAGGAAATGGGCAGCTAAGAGGCAGCTTTAGCCCACAGAAGGAATGTGAGCCCAGGAAGCTTCCCAAATCTTTCTAGTTTTTCGGGCCAGAAAGGTAATCAAGGAGAAATGTGCTTTCAGATTTGCAAAATTATAAATAATGCAGCCTTATAATAAAAGTAGAAATAGTTCATCTGGACGTGCTTCCTTTCTGGATTATCTCATAGGGTTGTTATGGGGAAAATAGGAGGTGGAGCATTATGCACACTGCCTTAAATTGTGCATAATAAAGGTGGGATGTAACAACTAACTTCCTTTAGAATATCTTCATGATTGTTCTTTTGCAGAACGTTGTGGTAAGTTTGTCACCAGTGATATTTGGAAAGGACCAGGATTTGCCAATGCTATAACTTAGGAAGGTATATGGAACAGAGAATAAAGTTCCAAATCTAGCTATCAGAGCAGTCAATACATTTCCATTATTTATAACACAGATTTCTAGTCCTGAAGGCTGTTGAGATCCACTTAAAAATGTGTGGTGATCTCAAAAGCAGTGTGATAAAATCTGCAGCAGTGCAGGGGTGTGTTTCTTCACTTAACACAGTCCTTTGCTGCTTCTTTTCCTCACAATTGGCAGAGTAGATGTAATAGTTGTGTTTTTAAAAAACCTCCTTATGAATGGTTAAAAAATTAAAAAAACCCGTGATGAAAAATGGAATCACTGTACAGTACATTATGCAAAATAGGGGAAGATGCTATAATGTTTAATTTGCATAATTAGTACAGATTGCCTGGTTCAACTTTTCTTGGCTGAGAATCTATATGGCCCTTGTGTGTAATTATTATTTATTTGGTTATTTTAAGTTTGGAATACATGAAGCTCCGGGGATGCACTAGCTGCAAAGGCTGCTAGGCATTGAACAACTGGCACTAATAAAACTTTTCTCATTTGCATCCAAAGAGAATCATGGAAGAATTAAAAGTGCTTANGGAGGTGGCGTTTGCCGGTTCTCCAAACTACTCAAACTTTCTGCTACCGGTTCTCCCAACTACTCAAAATTTCCACTTCTGCTTCTCCATAATCTGTCAGAACCTGCTGAATTTCACCCCTAGTATGTGAGAATGACTGTGAAAAACAACAGGAAGAATGTAAACTAGATTACAGTCAAGCAAAAGTTATCTCAGCCCATAGCAGGGTTTCAAAACAGATTCGCCCTAGTTTTCTGGGAAGTAAAAGGTAAAGCACGAGAGAAATACTTTCAGACTTGCAAGATTCTCTAAATATAATCTTACAATAATGGTAAAATTAGTACTCAATGTTGCACTTCTTATTTGGACTACTTCAAAGGGCTAACTGACACTTCCCTCATGCAACTATTGGTGTGTTAGGGCAGAGGTGAAATAGGAACCAGATTCTTAGCATTTCTTCAATTCAAATCTGATGCACATCCCTAATAATTAATTAGTCAGGTGGAGAAGTATATAAGAAACATTCTTATTTATTCTTCCTTTTTTTATCCTTACTATTTACTATTACACAGTTCAGTGAACATTGGGACATCTAGCCCAAGGCTATTCACATTAATAGGCAATGGTCCATTGGTGTAGCTGGAAAGGAAAACTGCAAATACCAAGTCAGCCCTGATAACAATTCATAGTTAAGAGTCTTGGGTAGACCATTAAAATTCAATTATTTAAATAAATCACAGTTCACTTTAGTGTGGAGAACTGTTATGTGAATACAGTTTATATATTCTACCTACGAGCTAGTTAAGATTCCTCATGCGGATTCCAACATGCTTGGAAATCAGCCTTTGATCTTGGAAACTATTTAGCATTATCTGTGACTATGGTTATTTCTTTAGCATTGAAAAAGAAAGCTGTTGCCACTTGGCCCCAAAACATGCCCTATATTAGAAGTACATTCATCTTATTATTGAATTCTGGCTCAAATTTATCTCTGTTTTCCCTCCTCCCCTATATAGCATGATTGAACATTTCACTGATAAGTAGTTTCTCAGTTATAAGCAGTGGTGGGTTTCAAAAATTGTTCGAACCTACTCTGTGGGTGTGGCCTGCTTTGTGGGAGTGGCTTGCTGCCCATGTG